AGTTTTCTGTTAAACCTAGTGAATGTTTTTTTAATATTCATTTGGAATTCTTTTGGAGTTGAACCATGTTCAAACATTCCTGGCCGAAAAGTCATGTAGATTGAAAAAGGCACTTTGCCAATGTGATTGATAAAATACTACATGTACTTGTAGTATGAAATAATTAATAGTAATTTGAACTATGTATTTGAATAAAAAAGTTCACGTTTTTAGTTAAAGCTGCTATTATTAGACATGAAGATATAATGGGTGAAAAGGGAACAATTACAGATGTTACCCAAAAGGTGATAATTATTTATAATTTGCTCAATCTGTCCATGGATACTAATTTTGCAATTACTTTATGATAATAATTGCAAAAACAATACATCACATGTTTCCATGGTTTGTCAGCACTGTCAATCATGTGCAGCACAGGATGTTAGATGAACACAAGAAGAAAACACCCTTATGTGGTTTACCTGCTGTTGAACTAGTAGAAATAAGTGGTTTATTGCTTTTTACGAATTTTTATATTCAATACATTAACCTATTATACTTGCTGTGCTTCTAATCTCTTCAGGAAAGAAAGGGTGAAACTTGTCAGTCACCAGACAGTGAAGATGTTCTGAGTGAAATTGATAACACCATAAGGTAACAAACCTTCCACAACTTAAGTTCAATTCAGTCCCATGTTTAAAATGGAGAAAGGGGGAGGAGGCTTGATGCAGTGGTGAGAGTTTTCACCTCTCACCAATGTCGCCCAGGTTCAATTCCAGCCCGGTGCCATATGTGGGTTGAGTTTGTTGTTGGTTCTCGCCTTGCTCCGGGATTTTTCTCTGAGTTCTCCAGTTTTCCTTCCCCCACAAAAACCAACATCTCCAAATTCTAATTCAACCAGGATGGAGGACCTGCATGAAAACCGGCTGGGGCTGATGTGGCTTCTTCTCTAAATATTGTAATTAATTTTTTTTTTATATTTCGTTTTTAAAATGTTAATTCTTCTTTCTGACAGCCTTACAGTNTGTCGCCCAGGTTCAATTCCAGCCCGGTGCCATATGTGGGTTGAGTTTGTTGTTGGTTCTCGCCTTGCTCTGGGATTTTTCTCTGAGTTCTCCAGTTTTCCTCCCCCCACAAAAACCAACATCTCCAAATTCCAATTCAACCAGGATAGAGGACCTGCATGAAAACCAGCTCAGGCTGATGTGGCTTCTTCTCTAAATATTGTAATTAATTTTTTTTATATTTCGTTTTTAAAATGTTAATTCTTCTTCCTGACAGCCTTACAGTTTCAGTTCTGAGAATTTGGTGGTACATCAAGACAATAATTATTACTTTGTTGATAATTTTCTTTATTCTTGTCACCTGTTTGCTTGATATTGTATATTTGGTATTGTATATACATGTACTGTGATGAGAAATTTGGACAATTGTAGGATTTTAGTGTTACTGTTGCATTATTAGACCTTGGCCTGCCTAGAACATTAATTAAGGTTTACCATTTGTAACATTTTTATAGCTATGACACAAACCACACATTCACATTGAGCCTGAGGTGTGGTGGGGGGTTGGGTTTCAGCTTACATGTAGCAGAGGGAGAGCACTAAATAGAGAAATATGGTAATTTTATTGCAATACATGGAGGTCTCATTCCCAGTGTGTGCACATGATCTTTGTGTCAGAACTGATTCATTTGGTAAATGCGTTTCTTTTTCTGCAGCGACGAAGATAAACAAGCATTTGAAGCGTGGCATGCTCACGATGATGCTGAAGATAACTTCTGCGAATTAGATGGTGAGTGGCACTGTCCTATCCAGTAGTGTTGCCCATGTAGAGAATGACAGACGTGGAGGGAGAGCGCATCTTAACTACCCAATCAAAGGGCTATTTCTGGATGCAGATGGAGCATGTGGTCAGTGACAGAGGGGATTGGAGGAGTTTTGTCTGTGGCCTCCAAAATGAAGTAGATAGGCTTCAGATTAGATCAGATCAGTTTTAAGATGTGACATGCCTTCCTAGAGAAAATTATTGTATTTGCTTGGAGGTCATTATCTCACTATTCACATAACTACAAATTCTGTTATCAAACCTGTACGTCATTGCATTACTTTTTTTTATACCATTGTTAATCTGTTTCAATTTGCAGATGAGTCATCCTCTGGAATGGAGTATGTGGACCTGTTGCGGAACCCTGAAAAATTCACTGGATATGCAGGCTTCTCTGCTCACAGAATATGGAATAATATTTACAAGGAAAATTGCTTCAAGTAGGTCATTTCAGATCTTTTTTTCACTAGAGAGAAATTTAATAGTTATTGATTATTTTTTGTCGTTGCATATACAGCTGTCATTTTGTTGGCACTATTTCTAATAACGGTTTTCTGTTCTTTTAGACCTACATCCCCCTATGGCAAGACCTATGCAGTGGTAACATCAAAAAATGTTAACAGTAAGTCCAGTTTAATCTATACAGCTTTTCAGTAGTACAGGTGTAAGATGGGCTTTCACTGTATATCATGCATAACTATTCAATATTCTTTTGATGTTTGAATTTTTGGTTTTAGCTGTTAATGAATTTAATAATTTACATGTAATACTGTAATTTCAGTGTGTTTTTTTTAAGACTTGAAGTAATATATCAAACACTAAAGATCGTGTTTGACCACATTTCCAAACTGTCACCGAGAAGAGAGTTGAAAATATGACACGCAGCGGAGTATTTTTGACAAAGTTCGAGGTGTTTGGAAATGTGGTCAAACACTGTCTTGAGTGTTTGATATATGTTGTCAATCGAAACTAAAACAATGGAGAAAACGGACAAATAGAATCGTAAAAAATCTATGTTAATTAAGATCAGATATCCAAACACTGTCACGGTCATGATTTCCTTTGTTTAAGCTTGATGAATTATTAATGAGTTTGAGAAGTAGGTTTCTGCCTAGATACGAGTCCATCAGAGAGCAATAAGAGAGATACGTACGTTGTTTAAGAGTTTCCTCTAGTCAGGGAAAATTTGTGAAAACTGCAAATATTATCGCTGGCGATTTACAAAGGAATACATGTGCCTGCCAGACTGCTCTGTCAGCTGCCCGGTTATATTTACAGCACTGTAATTTGAATAGAAGTGGATGATTCCTTTTCTAGAAATGTGTCTTGAGAAGCGAGTGTTCTATCGCATGATGTCCGGACTCCATGCTAGCATCAACATTCATCTGTCGGCACTGTACCTCTTTAAAGGTAAGAACTAAGGCCTGACGAGTGCTAAATCTCTCAAGATAAGGTCTTTGTGACATTCTTTAAATTTCCTGAAAGAAGATCAACAAATTATGAACTGCTTTCTTGCTCAAGTATTTTTGGATTAGAATGTAATATATTTAATTTCTGTCCTTTTGAACTACCATAAGTGAGATCTTCGCCATAAATAAAAATCGTCCTTGTAACACGTATCATACTGTTGTCCCACCACTGCTTTGTACCAAGGGTAAGCTAGGTCAAAATCATTCTGTTTAGTGGTATTGAACGAAGAGAACTGTTTTGTTAGGTAATGGTTTGACGAAACCAAGATGGGGTTTGAACTTTGAAGAGTTCAGAAGAAGGTTTGATCCTGAAACCACAAATGATGAAGGTATTTTTAAATAAAATGATGTTTTCATATGCATGTCAGGGATTTTTCATTAAGGGCCGGGTACCAGGCAAATTGACCAGCTATGAGGAGAATTTTGCCCGGCTGGTTTGCCATCTAGCGGAAAGTTTTTCTCACAAAGAAGTTCAGTTTTAATAATTACAGTTTTGCCCACGTGTGAAAACCAGTTGCCATCCTGCTGAAAACATTAATTTGTCAGTATCTACTGTGAGTGACGCTGCTGCAGTCTTTAGCACAATCATATGGATAACCAAATTGCACGTAGTTTTGTGCCAGAGGAAGGCTGGACTGTAACTGAAAAAGTCACGTTCAAGAGATTTTTAATATGTAGTCACAATTGATAAAATGGGATCCAATGGATCACAAGCATCTACATGTAGTCTGAGACCTTCTGCTGGATATGTTGGTTACATTATTTTCTTGTTTTGTTTTTGTTTTTTGTTTTCTTTTACCTTTCTGATTATTGCGTGGATCGTAGGATTTAGAAATTTTATTGGCTTAGTTTGTCAAATTCTACGTAACCCGTGCTTAGCTCGTATTCAGTGACCCCGTACTGTA